ATTAGTCATCAACTCTCACTAGAGCCTTAACCGTCAAAATAGTTGTGGGCTTGTTCAGGAGTTACTGTAAGGAGAAAACTGGGCCTCTGAGAACCGGCAGGAGGATCCAGCAATTGAATCAAAACTGCTTGGGCCAGTGGAAGAGAGCCAACAGTGGAATGGAGGAGCTGGCCATGAACCCCTGATTCTAGTGGAGGCTGCACACCCGCTCTCCCTGGGCTGAGTCATGTGGAGCCCTTCACCGTCTTGCCCTCTTTGACCTGACAACCTGCATGCAGACCTCTCCTAGGGTATGAGAAGGGGAGAGTCCTCGTGTCACCATCTGGAAGGAATGTGGGCCCTCTCAGGTCATTGTTCCTCCAGGACGCGGTGATAGGTTCCTTCTCTCCAGACGTCAGCTATGTGGTGGCTTAAATGCTTTTGAGAGAGGAGATGCCTTAGTTCTGATTTACACAGAAACTGACAAAGGAACTTTCTCAACGTGTGACCTCCCTAAATGGGGAACTGCCTATAATTGGTCTGATTCTTACAGAACTAGATTGTCTTCTAATTAAGCAGTTTTTACCTCAAGGTAGTAGAAATTAAGAAATTTGTATTTCATAAAATGTCTAGCCATTCCTCAAACGCTGAGCTCCCGGAAACTCTTACCCACCAATATAGGGTATCAAAATGTTTAAAACAAAGGAAAATTTCTGTTTTACCCTAGTGGTAAATGCCATGTAAAGACAACATAAATCCAAAAAATGTGAATATTTATTAACTGTTATCTTAAATGCCACAGGCATTTTGCTGTCTACTCTATATTTAGCTTCGTTTTGACTACTTACATCACCCTCAGTTAAGATACTTTGTTTTTATTGGCCTAATTTTAGATGAACATAAAATACTTCACCTTGGTTTAAACCTGTGTTAAATGACTTGAGGATTATTATGTCCAGGTTGTTCCTAGCAACACTGTATAACACATAAAGCAAAGTACATAGTCTTTTATGTGTGTCTTTGTCCTTGATTCTACAGCTTAGAGATATTAGTGACTTTCATCCTAGCCTTTTTCATATGTGTTGTTGTCCTTGATTCGACAGTTCAGGGATATTAGTGACTTTTATTCTAGTGGGATAAAATTTAGCCTTTTAGCACTAGAAATCTAAGGGATTTTAATTTCCATTTGTAGAAAAAGTAGTGCATATTTAAAATATGAGTGTCTTTGCAAAGTGGTTGAGTATTTTTCTTGGGCCCGTTCTCCCCCATTTAAAAGGATAACTGATGGCTGCCAAATAACAGGGTCCCAGAGTCACATCTAGGGAGTTGTGACCTATGTACTGTGGAGAATAGAGCTCAGTGGTTTGTTTTGTTTTTTTTTTTTTTCTTCCTATTTCCAAGATAGTATGCTAATTACACGAATTTGAATTGGTTCCTCTGCAACCCATTTATGATGCTCTTTGGCCATATGCTTTCAGAGTTGTGTGTGTGTGTGCAATGTATGAAAGAGATGTTGCTGGGATTCTGGGTTTATAGCCCAGATGCTATTCAAGGTTAGGAAGCTGGTACAATTTAATCCTTGGAATCAGTGTTGTGGTATGGAAGAGCCTCTGTTTTATTATTTTCTCTTTGAACTTGTCTGTTCCTCTCACCCTTTGGATGCGAAAAGGAAGTTTAGGATGAGAACAAAATCCAGAAATCATAAAATAAATCATTGTGGCTTTAGGTGTTTTATTAATAGGAAAGTGTTATCTTAATGTACCGCTTTTCATTACCACGCATATCTAGGTTACTGAACCAAACCCTGTTTCAGCTGTAGTTTGGCTTTTATAGATTTAGTTAATCATTGGTATGCTCATATGAACTAGAATTGGAAATAAACATACATGTGTTAAGGTGGCAGGGAGGATTAAATAACAAAAAGCTAAGAGGTTAAAGAACTATTTCAAGGACTGATGCAGAAGGATCAGGGTGACTACAGAGGATGAGTACGTCAGAAGGCCTTGAATTTGAATTTGAAAAATATTCAGGAAATTCATATGGCTTCCAACTGAACTTAAAACATTTATTGAAAAGTAAGTTTGTTTTTTTCTGTATTTGGTAAATATTCTGTTGTTTTTCTGTTTCATTTGCTTAATGAGATCATGAAGTGATTATTTTTTAATTAAGAGTTTGTTAACATTTTAAATGTCATCCATTTGGCTGATATTTAAAACTGGTAATGAGTTTGAGCTTTTTGTTCTTTTGCCCTACCCATGCTTTAAACTTGTGGGCTAAGAGTGAATTTGAAAATGAAGGATTTGTTTTTTTCAAAACTAGGAAACTAACAAAAGTTACTGAATTTAGTTTATATAATTGCTGCAAAAATTACTGCTCTTTTTGGTAATAAATAAATGATGCAGACCCAGTAAGCTAGGAAGTATCTCTTTATCTTTCTTTAGGAAGCATATTATCCGATTAAGAAGATAACTTAATTCAGGTAGCAGATGATGCCAGGCATATGTGTTGGAGTCAGTGAGTGAAAGAGAAAGATTCCTTCTAGCTGGGGGAGTTAGGAATGCTACACAGAGCAAGTGGGCTCTGTCCTGAGTCTGAGAAAATGGGTCAATTCGTATGTTTAAATCTATGACTGTAACTATTAGTTACATTTTGACTTCTGGGATACAATGTTAGGCCCACTTCATAAAATTGAAGCATAATCAGTTGGAGATATTTCCAGCCCATATTATAATCTTTTCCTGCCTTGTGTAGCTTATAACACTTTTATAAAAAGCTTGTCATCACTTACCAAGATTGGCATCCTCTATAGTCCTAGCAGCAAGGTATGCTGGTCCTTGAGGCCAGGCAGAGCTGGCTTCAAATCCCTGCCTGACACTTCTGGCATTGGGTAGCTTACTTAGCTTCTCTGAACCTCTTTGCCCACCTGTAAAAAGTGGGTGATCATGCCTACTTTTGCATGCTAGTTTTAAAGGTTGGGATCCATATATGAAAGCATACTTTCTCGTTATGTTCACTTAAAAGTAAACTTGTTTCCCATACTTATGATCTTCGTATGTATCCATCCCGGATCTTAAAGTTTCCTGTTCGATAGTTTTAGCTGTTCAGGAGTCATAGATCTGTAGATGCTACCTAGCAGCCTGTACTTGATGCAGTTCCAGATTCTTCAGTCAGTTGACACAGAGTGATTGTGCAGGTGCAGATCTCACATTTCTGGTTCATGTACCTAAATCAAGGGGTCTTACCCATTTCTTCAACTAAAAAATTCTAATGGGAACCTAAACTTACCAGTAAGGCAACTAATAAAAGTGAATTCAAAGTTTATTTTTTGTAGTTTAAACCTGCTTGAGCTATTTCCTATGGTTACTAACATTTTTTCCTCTTTATAATTATTTATTTTTTTTTTTTTTTTTTGACAGAGTCTCACTCTGTCGCCCGGGCTAGAGTGCTGTGGCGTCAGCCTAGCTCACAGCAACCTCAAACTCCTGGGCTCAGGCAATCCTTCTGCCTCAGCCTCCCGAGTAGCTGGGACTACAGGCATGTGCCTCCATGCCCGGCTAATTTTTTCTATATATTTTTAGTTGTCCAGCTAATTTCTTTCTTTTTTTTTTTTTTAAAGTAGAAACAGTGTCTCGCCCCTGTTCAGGCTGGTCTCAAACTCCTGAGCTCAAACAATCCACCCGCCTTGGCCTTCTAGAGTGCTAGGATTACAGGCATGAGGCAGGCCTGGCCTATAATTATATTTCTTAGCTAAAGGGCAAAACATTCTCTTACCATTTCTGTGTGATGGGGTTGGCTGACCCAAGTGCCTTCCAGGACCAGACAGGTACACACAAATAAGGAAACAGGCCACTGCGGACAGTGTACATACGCCCAAAAGAGAGCAACCCAACCACAGCCCCGCAGAGATAGGCATAGTGCTGGGCTTCCGGATATTGTTTTTAAGGGTGAGACTCTGGATTTACATGTGAAATATCAGGGAGATAGTGGATATACTGTTGCCTGCCTCTGCCCCTTTTTTTTGTTAACTGCTGTTGTAAGTCAAACCAACTGCATGGCGGACTGGTTTGCCTGTGGGACATCAGTTTGGCGCCTCTTCTCTACAGTAACTATGTTGGTGCCTTGTGGAAATGGTATTTTCAAATGTTCCATGCCTTTTCACTTACATATGGATAATGGTGGTTTTATTTGAGTCACAGGTAATGATTCATAATCTTCACTGTTCACACCAGCTGTCATGATTTAAAGCATGCAATTTCAGGGAAAACAAAAGCAGGTTCTAGTAGTGTTCTGCCCGGAGGAGTCTTTCTTTGGTATTTAACTCTTTATTTTTATCAGAATTCCACCGTAAGATAGTATGAAAAATGCACTGGTGCATTGTAACTTTTATATGGTTTCAGAGTGGCGAAGTTGTTTTAAATTATTTGTGACAAGCCAAATCGTGACAAAACCAAATCGTTGAAACCCCTGAAGCAACTTCTTCATATTCATGTATTTATGATTATAGTTTAACTCTCCAAAAGTGGGACTTGTAGTGGGATATTAAAAAATCTGCCAGTAAAGTGTAATCTGCTGTGATAGGAATGTCCAGTAACCACTTTCTTAAATTTATGATAAGCCAACTGAGTATATAGTTAGCCATTTTAAATTTTAAAATGCAACTTCTTCTTTACAACTGCAATTTACAGAACCTTAGCTTTGAAACCCATCTCTTTTGAAGTATATTTTGTGAAAATGGGTATCTTGACCTTTCTGTAGGATCTAAAGTAGAATAGAGGAGAGAAAGGATGGAAGAATAAGAGTTCTTGTCCTCAAACAATGCCACTGTTGACTGACCGTCCTCTACAGGTTTTCATATTATGCAAACGAATACTTATTATATGCTGTGGCGTAAGCAAATGTGACTGTCTCAAGTTATTGGGGATCCTTTCCAGCCTTCACATTTCCCTGCCTTTTTCTTCTGAAGATTACAGTGAGCACAAATCTGGAAGAATGTTAATCTTTCTCACTTTTATTTTCAATAGGTGGAATACATGTTGGTATCTTTTGATCATGAAAATAAAAAAGTCCAATTGGTCCTGTCTGGAGAGGAAGTTCTTGAAACTCTACAAGAGAAGGGGGAAAGGACAAACCCAAAGTAAGCGGATATGTTGAAGGCCTATTTCTGAAACTGTTGGAACTACTAGAATATATAATCTTTTCTCAGATTTGTAGGAGGCAGGATAGCATAGCAGTTAAGAGTGCAGGCTCTGGTTCCAGGTCGCCTGGCTTTCAAATCCTGATTCGCCTGGCTTTCAAATCCTGATTCTTCTACTGAATAGCTGAATAACCTTGGGCAAGTTACTTAACCTTTCTGTGCCTCAGTTTCCTCGCCTTAAAATAGAGATAATGACAATACCTAGGGCACTAGGATTAAATACATTAATATATTAAAGCACTGTGTACAGCCAACTAAATATTAAAACTTGTTATTATTAAGCATTGGGGGGGGGAGCAAAAAAACCACATTACCAAAGCATAACTGGGGTCAGAAATCATGGTGCAAGATAAAACTTGCAGATGGGTTTTGTTTGGCTGGCATAATGTTTTCAAATATTTCTTTATTTAAATAGACGAAGAGAGGGAGGGAAGGGGATATGTATTCTCCAGTTCATGTTCTACTCTCTAGTTTTTGGGAAGCTGCATTTGGGTTTGGACACCTATAAGGCCTCGTCTCCTTTCTAGCTTGTCCTGGACGGTGAGTCCCATGTGTACATTTTAAGTTATTTACAAATATTTTGGACCTAATACTTGTTAACCCTTATAGATGAAGAGCTGTGGAAAAGTAATAGCTATTGGAAATTGTGAATGAGTTCTTGGCTTTGTTTATACCTAATGGTTTCTAAATTTTTTAAGCAATCTTAAAACTTTAAAAAATGGAGTAAGCTGCAGCAAAAGAATAAATGGAACTAAATTGTTTCTCCTCTGTAGCCATCCTACCCTCTGGAGACCAGAGTATGGGAGTTACATGATTGAAGGGACACCTGGACAGCCCTACGGGGGAACAATGTCGGAATTCAACACAGTCGAAGCCAACATGAGAAAACGCCGGAAGGAGGCCACTTCTCTATTAGAAGAAAATCAGGCTCTTTGCACAATAACTTCATTTCCAAGGTTAGTTCCTATATTAACGTGCCCCAGAAGATATATTAGAGCTGTAGATTGTAAAGACAGCAGGTTGTGAGCCAAGCATTTCACCCTACAATCCTCACACTTTACATACAGTTCATACTTTGTAAGCCACATTTAAGACTCTGTAATGCTAGAGCTAAAGGCAAAATCGCATGGCAGCTTCAGTGGGTGGGTCGTGGCTGCCCAGAGCACTGTGGTGAGAGCGCTCGTCTGGGTTTGGGGGAAACACCGTGGGGACTGTGATGAGGACCAGCAGTGGTGGCCACGTCCACCGCAGGCAAGGGTGGAGGGCACAGCACACCCGCCAGACAGTTCCGACCCTGTAGGCAGTAGCCGAGCCTCCTGGTGACCTCCGAGTGCTCTTCTCACTTGACTGTGATAGTTGCTCCCTCATGCACTTTTCAAAAAGGAGCATTTGCCTACTAACATGGTGGTGTTGGTGGCAGGTCAGGTCACCTGTGCTCCCTGTGTACTGTCAATACATATTAATTATGAACAAGATGCAACATTAGGTCATGTTTGGATATTGTACTGCAAAGATTTAAGATTTGTCATCACATGTAGTTATGACACATACTAGAATATGTAAAAGTAAATATAAATAGTGAAATAATGTTCTTAGCTTAGAATGAGGTGTGTAAATATTGTACATATTATATGTAGAGTCTCTATGTGAGAATGCAGTTCTCCCAAATCATGAATATGAGTTGTCTGCGCTAGCTATCTGTCAGATCGTGATAGTATACTTACCTCCTCACAGTTCAGAAGAGCTTTGAGGGTTGGTATCCATGGCCTAGAACACTTGGAACTATTTTTATACCTTTTTTTCCCTGATAAATGTCTGTAACAAACACAAACATTCAGAATTATTCCATTGGTCTTAGAGAGGGGCATTTAAATGGAAATTTTCTTTTTATTAAACCTTCATCGTCGGCCAGGCATGGTGACTCATGCCTGTAATTCCAGCACTTTGGGAGGCTGAGGTGGGAGGATCACTTGAGGCCAGGAGTTCAAGACCAGTCCAGACAACATAGCAAGACCCTATCTCTACAGAAAATGACAAATTAACCGAGTGTGATGGTGTGCATCTGTAGTTCCAGCTGCTTGGGAGGCTGAGGCAAGGAGGATCGCTTGATCACAGGAGTTTGAGGCTGCAATGAGCTGTAATGGCGCAACTGCACTCCAGCCTGGGTGATAGAGCAAGACCCTGTCTCCAAAACAAACAAAAAAATCTCCACTGTAACATCTAAATAGTCGAAACCTTATTTAAGCCAATCTTCAAACATTTATAGAAGCATCTCTTATTTTCTGTGATTCCTTCATTCCATTTGTGCAGGCCACTCCCCTCCCCACCAGAAGAAAAAACCCCAGCTGGGTGAGGGTGGGCAGGTGTGTTTTGATAAGAGTTGGCAGATTTCTTCACCCTAATGTTTGAAAGAGAGGAAAAATCATTGACTCTGCCATTCACTCAGACACCTGAGTGCCTGCTCCATGCCGGCCCCAGGCAGTATGGGCAGGCCGTCACGATTGAGAGGAGCTAGCGGGAGATAAGTCAGTCATGCCCACAGATTCAGGGAGTGCAAACTTGGGGCAGTGCTGTGAGGAAGAGGTGGGGAGCAAAGCATGTGACGTGGCTTTCTAATGCACTCTGGGGGCTGGCGGGTGGGTGACTGAGTGATGTCAGGGTTCTACTAGGAGGTGTGTAACTGGAGTAGGGAGGGGAGGAATGTCCTGGAGAAGGGGGAGCAGTGTGCACAGAAGTCCTAGCATAAGCCAGGCAAGCGGGGGCCTTCTGGGAACTAAAAGAAGGCAAGCTGGCTGGTGTGAGTAGGAGGAATTTTGGTTGTCATCCTAAAAGCAGTGGGAGGCCTTGGGAAGGTTGGATTGGGCGGGTAGCCTCCCATTTTTGCTTCTCAGCCCTCACCGGGGCTGTAGTGTGAGCTTGGACCTGGAACAGGTGCCCCAGCTGACTAGGAGATAGGTGAGGGGCTCACCTGGGGGAAGCAAAGGCAGCCTGCATGTGGGTGCGTAGATCAAAAGGTGGCAAAATCAGCAGACCTGCTGGGGGACAGAAGAGATGTCAAGGCTATTGCTTTAGTGATTGTCCTGAAAACCTTAGAATATCAGAGTAGAGGCCAAGAAGTAGGTTACAGATGTTATATGACAACTTTTAGTGAACTGGAAAATTTAATATCTTACATTTTCCTTTTTTCTCCTTAACATTAAGAGGGTTGTACATTTCACTTAGCAAATTGAAAAAAAAAAAAGTTTGTAACACAAACTAGAACTGTTTTATATTTTAAAATTTAGGAATGTGTAGTATAGATAGGCAGTGGTGGTTCTTTCTTGGCCACAAGGTAAAGTTTTTGGTTTAACTTAATGTGTCTCTTACCTTAATTGAGAATGGCTCTATATGGAATAGTTGCCCTTTTTTAAAGCTTCTTATGTCATTATCAAAGGAGAGTTGAAACAGGAATAAGTTTTATTCTAAAAATAAGTGATTTTTTAAAGCCTAACCATATGTATTAGGATAGGAGGATATTTTTGGACTTGAAAACAAAACAAGAACCAATATTAGTCATTTAGTGGTTAGAAGCTCCCCCCTTACATCCACAGTAAATGATAAAAGTTTTATAGTAATGTGGGATCAAGAGAGAAAGGGAGTGTTCTAGTCTTAAATGTAAACAATGTGATTTTTCTTTCTGTAAAGAGGAAAAGCTCTGTAGTATAGAATTGTAGTCTAAAACATTGGCCACGAGACTTTAATTAATTACATAAAATGAAAATTTAGTTCCCCATTCACACTAGCATTTCAAGTGCTCAGTAGCCACGCGTGGTTGGTGACTATCCGTTGGTTTGGACAGTACAGATATTAAACATGTCCACTGTAAATGTCTGAAGATCCGAGCGCTGACTCTGCCTTCTCTCTTCCAGACAAACACATTCTCAGTCTCTCTTCATCTCGCCTGATTATAGTTAGCAAGGAATCCCCCAGATTTAAGATTATTACTCAACTAAAGGACTCTTCCTAAGGTTTGCAGGCTCATAGTAAATAATGCACATAGCTGCAGGAATTCTCAAGGGCCCTTAGAGCTGGGAACTGTTTTCCAGATAAGATCAGCAACTTCAGTTGTTTACAAGGTGGATGTGGGCAGCCAGTAGGTACTTTATTTTATAAAAGGTAGGGGTTAAAAATAAGGCATTGGGCTAGTTGGCCCTTAAGCCAGAAGTTTCCTACCACTGATCTAAAACCCCAGCAAGAGCCTCCGCTGGTTTGCTCTCACTAGCTTTGTTAATCTTTGTCCTCCCTCACAGCATGCTTAACTTTGATTTTAAATTCCTAACTTGGAAAAACCAGTGGCATCACTGCAGGTGATGTGGAATTTGAGCTTTACAAACTCAAAGATAAATATGGAGCTTCATTTTTCTGTGTTGGAATTAGAGCTCTTCTTTAGGTCAAGTAAGATAATTGGGTTGGGTTTCAGACTGCAGGAAATCGCTGGTGGATGGGGACACCGGCAGAGACACTGCCACATCTTGGGGGATTCGTGTGATCTGTAGAGGCAAAAAACAGAAGGCCCCTTCCAGATTTCCAGATTCAAACAAAGCCTACCAGGAGGTGGGAGGCAGTGGTGGTGTGCAGGGGGTCAGAGGAAAATCTGAGAGTTTAGCACTGGGAAAAGAGGATGCCTCAGAAGCTGTGTAGAGGGACATGTACAACCCGTGACAATTGATGTGACCAAGGGAAGTGACATCTGTGTTGTCCTTCCTATTAGATGAAGAGGTGGGGAGGACCGAAGTAAATGCTCTGGATTGTGAGTAAGCAGAGACTCCGGTAAATCAGTGCTGGGCTGGAATCACAGAAGAGCAAGATGAAGTTCATGAGATGCAAGCAGGAAGTGTAGGCAGTGGTTGTAAAGGGGCACAGCACTTACAGAGCATTTGTTTCGTAAACACACAGCCTCTGAAATGGGAATAACAGAGGCGAGATGTTCTTAACAGGTGCAATGATGGCAAAACTACACATAATTTATTCCTGAAAACAAATCCCATCTACTTAGTTCTTCAATTTGTTGTAGATTAGGCTGTCCTGGGTTCACAATACCCGAGTACACACCCAACCCGGTTGAAGGAGGAGCTTCCAAGTCCCTCTTCTTCCCAGATGAAGCAATAAACAAGCACCCTCGCTTCAGGTGAGTATGGCTTTGGGTTGAAAAGCAAGAGCCCCTCACTCAGATCTCTGCCTTCTGAGAATGCGGTTGTCCAAACTGGGAATCCTTTTTGAGCATTTACTGAATTCTGGCTCCTTCCCTAAATAACCGGAGAAGGCGGCAGACATACACCTGTTCATATCCTCGGGACCTCCATTGCTGCTTGGTGGTCACTTCTTGCATCCAGCCTCAATTTGTCCATTTTCCAAGTCGTCTTAAAGTCATTTGTCTAGCCACTATCCTCTCTCTTATGGGGAGATTACTTTCAGTCCTAGTTGTGTAAACACCTACTTTGGGAAACTTTCCCTTAGTTATTCCTACCTTTTTCCCCTCTCCAAGTTACCATCAGTATCTGTGATCGCTCATCTCACTCTGTATACCTTGGTAAGAAGGTAAAACATGTCCAGCAGCTGGTATAGGCACTCTCCCTTCTGTTAACTTCTAGGTCTGTTAGTTTGTAGTTTAATTCTTAGGTTTTAAGTTGCTTCAGGGCTTCACCAGGCTGCCCTTGGCTTTGTACCTTAGTGCTCATCCGTCATCCTGAGCCCAGGCTCCTGAGCCGGAGGTAGGAACGTGGGGACTTCTCAGTGGTCACTCCTTTAACAGGCCTGCACGTGCGCTGTGTGCAAAGTCTTTAAGGGAGACAAAGATTTATCAGCATAGTTCCCAACTTCAAATGTTGTCGTATGTTTAAAGGAAAATAAAAATATTGAGCTGCAAGCAAAGATAGATTATGGCATATATCCAAAGGTGGTAGCACCAGAGATCCTCCTTGGAGAAAGGAGGCTGCTTCTGACTGGGGGGATCAAAGCAAGCTTCATAGCAGAGGTGGCATTTAAGCTGAGTATATGGATGCATCGTCTAATGGCAACATGAAGTGAACCACAAATGTAATTACAAAGTTTCTGGTAGCCACATTAAAGCAAAAAACAGGTAAATGTAATTTTATAATATATTTTATTTAACTCAGTAGATCCAGAATTTGTAATCAGTATTTTTAAATTATTAATGAGAAACTTTACTTTTATTTGTACTAAGTCTTCAAAATCTAGTGTGTATTTTACTCTCGCAGCATGTTTTAATTAGGACTAGCCACGTTTCAAGTGCTTAATGGTCACAATGTGCCTGGTAGCTTCTGGGTGAGACAGCACAGTCTGGAGGATAAGTACTAATGCGGAAGATTGGGGGGAGAGAGGAATGAGGTGTATTGGGTGGGGCTCCAGAGAAGCCTGGGGAAAAGGAGTGCTAAAGTTTGACCAGTGTCTTTCAAGTTAACGTGGGGAACGTTAGAAACATAGGGTGAAATCGGACCATGGCAGACCTTGACACCTGAACTTGATTTGGTAAGTTGTAGGGAGCTGTGGAAGCAGGGCTGAGCAGGGAGAGAATGGCATTCTCAAGCAAGAGCCAAGGAATTGATACTAAGGCAAAACCTTTTTCAGAAAATTCCCTTAAGAGTATCTTGACCCACATTTTCTGTAGGGTGGTCTTAGAGAATTAGTTTGATTTCATTGCATTTACCTGTATATGATGAGATTCTTCTTATACATGACGACTCTTAGGTGACCAATTTATGACGTTTGATTGTCTGTTTTAGTACCTTAACAAGAAATATCCGACACAGGAGAGGAGAAAAGGTTGTCATCAATGTGCCAAGTAAGTCTGCAGAGAGGTGGCAGGGTGGGAGAGATACCTGTTGAATTGTTGTTTAATGATTGACTCTCAAACATTTTATTCTTTTATTTTTTAATTAATAATACAGTATTTAAGGACAAGAACACACCATCTCCATTTATAGAAACATTTCCTGAGGATGATGAGGCAGCAAAAGCTTCTAAGCCGGATCATATTTACATGGATGCCATGGGATTTGGGATGGGCAATTGCTGTCTTCAGGTATTGTTTCAAATATCCAGAGAGGGAAAGTGTCCTCATTCATTTCTGTTTATTAACTTCTTTATGTGTGCATGTTTCCTCTTTTAAAAATTACAATTAGGATGAAATGGTAGATGGTATGCCTTTCTGAAAAGCAATGAAATTATTTTTAGTAAATTCTTTGGAAGCTGTATCTTGACTAATAATTCTACAGAGTCTACAGTTTGCCACAAAGGTATATACTGTACTGTGGTTATTAATTAACTTAAAACGCAGAATATTTTGTGATCATTGTCTTTATTTTCTTTCTACATGCCTGGTTTTTACTGCCATCTAGTGACAGACTAGTGAGGTTGTTAAACATCACTCAAATCTCTTACTTCTGGAAATGAGCTCTCATGGAAATGTTCCAATGATTTTGTAATTCAAGAGAAGGATGGTTTGGACTTTAAATTTTTACATTTGTGCAAAGCCTTCTAGTGGTATAAAAAGAGTAAATATTTAGCAGCCCATGTTTGTCTTACCCCTGGCTAAGTTGTACAGAATAGCCTTTCTCTATTTACCCATTTAAGATTTTTTCTGGATCTGATTAAATTACTGGTGCCCCTGGCAGTGCTTGTGCCGAGGCTCACTTAGGACCTCAGTGGGAGAGCACAGAACCCATCAGGCAGCACATGGGCCTACGACCAGGTTTTGGCTCAGGTATTTGGGTAACTCCCTTCACTTCTTTTGGCTTAGTTTTCTCATCAGTGAAAAGAAGCGTTTATATTAAGGCCCCTTCTAGGTCTGACTCTAAGCTTATATTTATTTCATTGCTTTAACAGAAGTATTTTTTTAACTTTCAATTTGATTAAAATCATGTTAGAACAGGCAAAGGAATTGCACAAAATGTAAATTTTCAAATTGAAAATTTCATATAAAAAAAGAGAGAGAGTGGCTGTTTGTTATTGTCCACGGAGATTTTATCCAGTTCTGATTACTTCAGCTGATTGGAAGCAGAGTCCTTAGGGGCCTGGAGCAGCACAGCACCTGGCCATGGGAGGCCCCTCTGGGCCACCAACCTGATTACCCTCAACACAGAGGCCCAGAAAGCCAGCGTCCCCTCGTCTCAAACAGCTGCGGCATGTACACACACCTCTTTGCACATATACCTCTGATCTGTTTATTTTGTAAACTGTGTATAATCCAAATTAAATGCCAGAGTCAGATTTTTCCATGCTGAATGTGTTTAAATAACATGGCCAAGGATAATTTTTTGTTTTCTTGACATGTATAGGTAGTATAAAAAATGTGGCTTCCAAACAAACATAGAGCAGTAAGTTATAAACAGTCACGCTTCATGAAAAGAGACCTTTTGACTTTTAAGTGTATATCTGCTCTCCTATCTTAATTACAAATATTTCTAAAGAGAACCATTAAGTTCTAGAACTTATAGTGCATAGCTTTAAAATTGTTGAAGTGCTATTATAGTACTGATTACCTTTCCTTGGTTTAATATTAAAACAAGGTGTTCTGCCAAGGACAGCATATTTACTCCAACATACAGGGTGTCCCAAAAGTCTCCATACAAAGGAAACATTTCTTAAAATTTTGTAATGAATATTTTGTAAATGAAGGTACATTTGGCTACAATTTCCCCTTTTCCCTGTGTATGGTGACTTTTGGGACACCCTATAGTTCCAAAGGGCTAGTCTTTCCCTTGAAACATTGTATCTAGACAAATAAATATGTCCTAATGGTAGATGATCAACATTTTTATTGTAAATAACAATTTTCCATCCAATTTAAGCTTTGTTATGGGTTTATGATCAAGTTATCTTTTTCCCCAGTGTTGTGTCCCAGTTTCAGTACTCCACATAAGTGTGTGGCAAACGAGACAAATTCCACAAATCACCACAGAAATCCCTGCCTTGTATCTCTTAAGTGGAACACTAGAAACTACTTATTACAATAAAGCAGAAAACTGTCTAAAACCAAAAGCATTTTAACCACATTTAAATTCTCCACTCTTTTTGGGCTTTTCAGGAATCATTTATTAAGCAGTAAGTTTATGACATGTTTCGATAGGTTTTTTTTTTCCCCCGAGAAAATCGTGTGACTTCAAAACTGGATTCTAAGTAAATTTTAGTTGAGATATTTAGGTTTCTAACATGTATTTTTCCTAGTTCCTCTTTTTTTGCCCCCTCCTTTCAGTTTCCTGGTGGCATGTGTCTCTTTTTCAGATGATGCTTTAAAGAATGCCAGGACCAAAACTGTTGATATATTCACACCTTTGTAAGGTGTAGGGACTCTTCTCTTTTTTCCATTGAAGCCATTGTCAAGAATGATGTCCTGTTTGGTTTGGTGATTGCTATATGAGCTCTAGAGTAAGGAAGCTAATTACGAAATTTGTTTAATGTAACTCAGTCACTTCACTATTGTAAACTATTAAGTTCCAGTTGCTAATTTTTGTAAGCATACTTTTCTAAGATTGGCTTTTCCAGGATTCACCTATTAATTGTCCAGCGTGTATTAGGACATGTGAGAGAAGCCAGTCAAAAAACTGCAAAGAAGAAATGCTTCTCATAGTATCATTTAAAAACAAAAATAGGCCAGGCATGGTGGCTCACTCCTGTAATCCCAACACTTTGGGAGGCCAAGGTGAGAGGATCGCTCGAGCCCAGGAGTTTGAGGCCGCAGTGAGCTATGATGGTGCCACTGCACTCCAGCCTGGGCAACAGAGTGAGACCCTGTCTCTAAAATAAATAAATAAAATAACACACACTAAAATACCTAAAAGTAACTTAAAAAAAGACCTAAATAAACAACAAGATGCATGTTCAAAATAATTCATCAGTCAAACCACTTAAGGGGAACATTTGGGTAATTTTTAGTCCTAATGCCTTATAAATTTGGTTTTGGGGGTCATGGTTTTTCAAGTTTCTCACCATACCGTTACCCCTGTGTTCTCCTCTTTGGCACCCTCTTTCCTTCAAGATTCTCTGTTCATTTAATACATTATTTGTTAAGCAGTAACTAGGTGTCAGACACCGTCCTACATACTTGGAGTAGAGAATGGCAAGACAGGTCCCTGCCCTCCTGAAGCTTAAATTTTAGTGATGGGATCACAACAGATATGTATTATACATAAATACTTTACTTACCAATTCCCATTTCCTCACTTCTCATTTAATCCTTACCGTACACAAACTGGTTTCCAAGTTTGCACCTGTTTGCAGAAATGACCCTTGATTTGGTAACGACGTAATTGCCAGTCCTTCTGAATATTTCTGTTAACCTTTGAAACTTTTATTCCTTGATATCTGTGACACTCTCCATGTTGAATTGATTTGTTAATGACTAGTTAATTATCATTACCTTTTAATTAAAATACAGTGCTGACTTAAGCAGTGACATGGGAATTATAGGAAGGTCAGGACACTAAACTGTCTAAATAATTATTTTCTGTAGCTAGTCTCCACACTGACATGAAATGCCATTGTAATTGAGCAGATAAACTTGTGAGTCACCACCAGAAGTTGTCAGCTATTAAAAAAGCAAAGTTGAGATCTAGCTAAAACTATTATAACTAGCAGTTGAGATCGTAACAGTAAACATATTATTCACTCAGCTGCTGTGATTTCAAGTCTTAAACACTTAAATTTCCAAACCAATGCTAAATTCAAACTGCAACAGAGGAAATTAAAACTGTTCCCAATTTGCAGTTATCATAAATGTGCTAACACAAACACAATTTGTGTTCCTTGCCCCTTCTATGCCAATCCCCCAAAGAAGGCAGATCTTTTTTTAGTTTCTGTCGGGTAATTGTTTTAGGGGATGATTTGTGCTAACCAAATTATGTGATCTTTTTTCCTGCCTAACTCTTAAGTGTCTACCTGCCCTGCCCGCCTTGTGTGGGCTTCCGGGGTGATCTCTCCATCTTCAGGACATCGCCTAAGCCTACTCCCCACATATTTCTCCAGCTCAGATTTTTCTTCTGGGCACCAGCCCTGAAGACCCATCCACTTACAAGACCTCTTGGACATCTGTTTCCTTGGTTTCATAAGCCCATCACGGCACATGACCTCTTTTTCTCTAATTCTTCTTCCCGGTTGTCCTAGGAGCACCCCAGCCAAAACCTAAGTGCCTCTCCCCAACCCCTGCCACTCTCTGTCCCCACTGGTCACCGGCACCTGATGCTTTGACTCTGGCGTGCCTCTACCCACAGCCCTTCTCAGCCTTTTCCTTGACAGGTAGTGTTCTGTCTGCTTCCTGTCTTTCCAGTCTTGCCCCCTTCCAAGCTGTTCCCCATACTGCTGCCAGTGAACTTTGGAAACTATCATGAACATCCCCAAATCCCTTTTGTTTCATAATTTACGTAACCCCTCAGCTAAACGAAGGGATGGGAAGTTGCAGAAGAAAATAAGCCAGTAGAAGAGGAAACGCTTTGCTGAACTTCATCATCTATTTGTGTCCTGTTTTTCTTTCCTGACTTAATCATTGTTCACTTAGGAACATGGTTACATATATTAGTTGTCTATAGGTAGTGGAAAATGATTACATACCATTTTCTAATTAAATTCACTGAAGACAGCTTTTAAACAAAACCAATGCTTTAAATGTTGTCATCAGTGAAGGGCTGTTACCTCACCGCTCCCTTCCCAAGCCATCTTTCTCCTCTGACTTTACTGCTTGGAGAGCGTGCTGATGATCTTTCCTTGTTGTTAATAACTTGCAATCTTAAACAGGTGACATTCCAAGCCTGCAGCATATCTGAGGCCAGATACCTTTATGATCAGTTGGCCACTATCTGTCCAATTGTCGTAAGTAGAAATTACTTCTTATTTTAAATACTTCTTTGTATGAAATAAGACTACATGTGCAGAATTTGCTGATAGTGTGCTGTATGTAAATCACATCAGTTAAGAATTCGTTCAGAAAAGAATATAAATAATATGCAGATTGAGAGCTAATGAGCTAAGAGTCTAAGCTGTAGAAGTTTACTGTTGCTAGTAAAACGTGTGAGAAGTGTCAGGTTTGAGTGTAGCCATTTTCTCTCTCCCGTTCTTCATGGGAAAGGATTTGGGTTATTTCCACATTATAGAGAGGATGATTTGAATGAATCAAATCCAAGGATTTGGGTTGTTTCTGATGTTTCACTATAAGAAAGCAAGCACAGGTACATATGGTGGAAGTCTGTATGGGTTGCATAAACTGATTCTTTTTGACCAGAAAAATAACTCTATGGGGCTTTTTTCAGCATGTAAGTACCACTGAATCTACAGGAACGGACTTTTGTTTGTTTTTAGATGGCTTTGAGTGCTGCGTCTCCTTTTTACCGAGGCTACGTGTCAGACATTGATTGTCGCTGGGGAGTGATTTCTGCATCTGTAGATGACAGAACTCGGGAGGAGAGAGGACTGGAGGTGGGAATGATTTTTCCTTAATAGCCCTTTTAAATCAAGCAGGTAAAAAGCAGTTATTTTAACTACTTGCAATTTTGAAGTTCCCCTTAAATTTTTATCTTAAGTAGGTTAGTCACATATGGGAGGAAGTACTATCATAAACCTGTCTTTGTTTCTGGTCTTTGACGTCATAGGATTTGTCTTGGGGTGAATATGTGGGGAAAGTGATTTGGACTGGGTGGGAAGTTAATTTTTATCAAATGTTGTTATGTATTTGTTTTAGCTTCTTTTAAAATTAGTGCCATTTTTCTATGTTTTGGAAGTCAGTGCTGATGGCTATTTTTACCAAAAGGCATTTGGCACTACGTGAGTGCTTTGTATATGATGCTTTCTGCTGTGGAAGGTATAATTTTTTGTAAAAGACTCTTTTTCCGTATAAAGGGTTAGGCTTTGCTTAATAAGGGTAGGTTAGCACTTCTTATTTACACGTTGAGCTGTAACCCACCCTGCATTTCTCCAACCAGGGGTGTGCATCAGAACCACCTATGAAGATCTTTAAAAATAGACATTCAGGCTTCATCCTAGACCTGATAAATAAGAACCTCTAGGACTAGGGTCCTGGACATAGGTGTTTTTAAAGGATCCCCCTCTCCCAAGTGATTGTGAAGTCACAACCTTGACTGTACTACTGCCCTGATCTTTATGTGATTATTCATAAATTGTTGAACATACTTTATGAGTAGAAATAAACTTTAAAGGATAGATCGTTTTGATTTTATAGGTTTTTTTTTCCCACTTTCAACTTTGCATTTTCCTAGCTTAATAAGGATGACAACGATCTGCTTTAAAAAGAAAATTATATTTAAATCATATCAGAAGAAAAGGGTACTTAAATTGCCTTCAGATTTTTTAAAATACAGTTTTCCCTAATAATCCTTTAGGATTCGCTAACTTCAGTATCTCATGTTGAGGTTTTTATATTGTTGTATATAAAAATATGTAGCATTTTAATATAATTAGTTGGGGCGTTAGCTTATTTCCAGATCATTTTGTATGGCATTTATTCATATTTTTTTAAATTTTAGCCACTGAAGAACAATAACTTTAGGATTAGTAAATCCCGATACGACTCAATAGACAGCTACTTATCTAAGTGTGGAGAGAAATATAATGACATCGACTTGACCATCGATAAAGAAATCTACGAACAGCTGTTGCAGGAAGGTGAGCTTCCATTCCATTTTCCTAGGTTTGATTGTACGTCTTTAGTTCTTCAAAGCTCTTTTAAACTTTTTTGCTGACTCCTGGTCTGGTTTCTATTTTTAGTGTGAAGTCTCTAACTTTTCTTATGAGGCTGCTTGTTCCTAAAGTTTCAAGTTCCAAATACTTGTGAGATCTTCTTGACTTTTAGCCAAAGGAACTTACTTTGGAGGTCTGTACCTAGGTCCACACCAGTGCCCCCGCAGGCATTGTGTAAGTAGTGAATGAAACTCTGACACTTCCCCAGTGTCCATAGGATAAAATCCTGGGCGAGGTGAAGATGCTAAACAAACCAGCTATTTCCTAAGTCTCTAGACACCCTCTCTTCAAACTTCCTGAGCTATCCTGTCTTCTTTCTAGACTTAGAGAAAGTGGTGTCTCCTGCTCTGCAGTGAGTGCCCGTGTCATCTGTCTTTGCAGGCATTGACCATCTCCTGGCCCAGCATGTTGCTCACCTCTTTATCAGAGACCCACTGACTCTGTTTGAAGAGAAGATACACCTGGACGATGCCAATGAGTCTGACCATTTTGAGGTATCTCCTGTTTTTTGAATGCATTTCATTCCATGAGCCTAGATGGAGGCAGTTTTCTGTACCTGTGAGGAATTGGTAATAGTAGAACTCTCATAGGCCTTACATTGCCCACTGCAGTAAAGAACAAAGAAAAATCAAAAATTGGTTTAAAGTACTTTTATTCTATGATTCTTACAAGTTACCTGTCTGATTCTAAGTTTTTTTTGTTCAGTATTTTCTCTTGTTTGCCTAGTGGTAAAAAATGTAAATTATCGGCTGCACAAAAAATAACACAATCAGTTTTTTCAGTGGCTTATCACCTAATGTCAAATGTAGATATTTACATGTGTACCTTTCTAAATACAGTCTATAGCACCTACCTTCCCCACCACACTCTCAAAAGAGATACAAATCCTCCCAGGATTGCCATTAGGCTTCTGAGCATGTCCGGGACCATCTCTCAACATCTTAAGAAACAGCTGCCCTTCTCAGGCTCTGGGGTCACTGAAGCAGCAGCATGCCCAGGATCTAAGGGGAGGACAGAGGAGAGGAGATGGAAGTGTCCAGTGACTCTCAGAATGGCAGCCTGGCTGCCAGAACTCGCAGAGTGGGAATAAGGGTGGGCCGTGTGGCTCCTCAGAGGCTGCCCAGTCGTGGGGGTAGACAGCAGGAGTGGGGATGAGGCATGCAGGGGTAGGGTGTCTGACTTTTCATGAACATGCTCCAACAAAGTTACACATTTTTGTGTTTGTAAGTTAAAGAGTATTTGGCACGGATAGTAAACAGTCTTCTTCCCTAATTAAATAGCAAATCATCTTAATATTTTCCTGGACGTGTGGAAAATTTGGTTTATTCTCTTTTTTATTATAGAATATTCAGTCCACAAATTGGCAGACAATGAGATTTAAGCCCCCTCCTCCAAACTCAGATATTGGATGGAGAGTCGAATTCCGACCCATGGAGGTAAGACCCGGGCGTCAGCAGGAACTGGCTCAAAAGCACTCTTCCTCTGACTGTTCGTCACCCTCTGAGGCTCCTGTCAGAAGCCTCTTAAATTTGTTATATGGCAATAAAAATCCGGCATGTGCACATTAAAAGCGAGTCCAAAAGCTAAGGCAGGTTGGTTTCTGAGAATAGACGTGGGCAGAGGACTTCCAGACCCAGATGGGAATTAGGAGAGGGTTAGGGAATGATGTGATTCGAGGAGGGGCCTGGGCCAGGGAAGAGCACATTTGTGTCGTTGGTCCATAACTTCTCTGGGCTTCTGCTTGTCTAGGTTCAGTTAACAGACTTTGAGAACTCTGCCTATGTGGTGTTTGTGGTACTGCTCACCAGAGTGATCCTTTCGTACAAACTGGATTTTCTCATTCCTCTGTCAAAGGTGAGGATGTGTTTCATTATGGTGATGGGTAGAGATATCTATAGATACAGTCATTTGTATCTCTGTTATTTGAAATCTGACTTCGTCTAGAATTGTTTACCCTTTACAATAAAATGCTTCTCCCTCCACTGTATTCTTTTTTTCCTTTTAAACATAAGCTTTATTTCTAAAGGATTTCCATTGAAGATGATGATGGCTACAAGTAGTCCCACAAATTGGTTTCATCCACCCCAAAATCCCATTTTGATTACAATATTAAAATTAGGATAGGAGGGGAAAGTGTAACCTCTGGCTGCAGGGAAAGGTCTCAATAGAACCGAACTTGCGACGTTTATGAAGAACGTAGATGGCACTGGACTGCCAGAAAAGCAAATCGGAGTTAATCAGCCCCAGCTCAACAAAGACGAAAAGGAAGCTTTCTGGGAGAAGTTTCCCAGCAGAGCCTTAGAGCAACTGTAGATGATGAGGCAGGACAGCTGAGGAAGGTGGGGGCCTTTGGTTCCTGTGGTCCTCTCGGCAGAGAGTGACTGGGAAAGATGCTAAGCAGAGAGAGGGCTCCGCTGCAGGGGCTCCTGCTAAGGGTGTCAGGGCCACAGAGAGGAGAAGTGGAGCAGCTCTGTCACCGCAAACATGGAAGCAAGAATGAAACTACTTAGCCCCAGCGTCTGTCCCCAGGATGCCTTGCTCTCTGCTCCCTTCACTAGGGGTTTGCCGCCTGTGCCTGTCCCCCCAACGTCCCCTGAAGGAAGTCTGGCTGTCAGCCTGTACCTGCCCGCTTGTCACCACCCAGACTGAAGGTGGCCCATAGGATTCTGTGCACCCACATTGCCTTTATGGATACCTGCTGGGGAGACCAAATCTATCTAAGGGAGAGTCCATGTAAACTACCAGTCAAGGCCTTTCTTTATAAATGAAAATAGAGGTCTGAAAGTCAACAGAAAATTGAGAATAATTAAGAGCCTTAAAGAAAAGGGCCCAGCTGGTCTTACAGAGTATAGTGTTCTCAGTGAAATATAGTTGATTCAAGAAACTGGAAAGAATTCTTAAATTCTAGATAAGGATCACAGCCATAAAGTAAACAAGCATTATGAACCAAAGAACATTTGGAGAATAGAAGTTCTTAAAAAACATGGTAGCTGTACCTTTAAAACTCAAGTATACCGAGTATACTCACCAGCAGAGCAGATGTTGAAGATCCAAGTTAGTGATTTGGGAGACCAAATTAAGATTGATCCCAGCAGGATGGGGAAGAAATGGAAAGTATGGAAAAGACTGAAGGGTGAAGAATTGTTCTGGAAAGTTCAGCATTTACGTAATAATTTAGAAGAAAAGAATAAACTCTGTATAGGAGAGACATGAAAGAAATAATAGAATTTTCTTTAATGTAAGAGTCTATTAAGGATGAGACAGAAATGTTTAAAGAAAAATCTAGACATTTCTGAATCTCAGAGAACCAGCTGTCAGGACAGGAGAGAAAATTAGGATACCTTCAAAGGGTGGAAAAGTCAGCTAATACTGCTTTTCATTTACAACATTAAGTACTAGAAAAGAGATGGAAAGAAGCCTTCAGAATCCTGAAAGGTAAAGAATTAGGACCACAGAATTCTTCTCCCAGCCAAATTAGTCCTTAAATTCCAGGTGATTCTAACAAAACTTAATAGATCAAGTTAGGGCTAAAAGTATGCTGGAAGTCTTTTCTAGCATCTTAGTCTAGACTGTTTGGGCTGCTATAACAAAAATGCCACAAACTGGGTGGCTTACGAAAAACAGAAATGTATCGCTCACACGTCTGAAGGCTAGGAAGTCCGACATCAAGGCACTGGCAGATTCAGCATCTGGTGAGAGTTCACTGTCTGGTTCATGTTTGGTGCCTTCTTCCTGCATCCTCACATGGTGGAAGGGGCTAGGTAGCACTCTGGGGTCTCTTTTATCAGAGCACTAGTGCCCTTCATGAGGGTAGAGCCTTCATGACCTAATCACCTCCCAAAGCCTCCACCTTCTAATACTGTCCCAATGGGGATTAAGTTTCAATGTATAAATTTTGGTGGGCAGGGGACACAAACATTCAGACCATAACACCAGGCAAGGGGATAGTAGAAGGAGATGAATGGTAGATATTTTTCAATACTTGACATTTACAGTGATAATTTCAAAACTACCTGCTTTCAAAGTAAGGTAAATTACTAATAGTATAGAAATATGATTTATTACTTCTAAACTGCTGACTAAAAGGGTTGGAAAATGAACAAAGAAAACTTTACAGTGCCACAAAATCAGGTGTGGAGCCAGGGGAATGGTAAGATGCTGTAGCCCACAGGACATAAAATGGTGTAAAAATAAAATGAAAACAAATTTCAGTAGACTAAACTGTCCTATGAAAGGGCTAAAAAGATAATATAAAACAGCAACATTACTTTTATAAATTGTTTGCAAAAGACATACCTAAAATAAGGACAAATGCTGGCAGTAAAGAGCTACATGATGATCTTTTTTTTTTCTTTGAGACAGGGTCTTGCTGTGTCATCCAGGCTAGAGTGCAGTGGTGTCATCATAGGTCGCTGTAACCTCAAACTTCTGGGCTCAAGCGATCCTCCTGCCTCAGCCTCCCACATAGCCGGCACTGTAGACAACATGCCACCATGCCCGTCTAATTTTTTAAAATTTTTTGTAGAGACAGAGTCTTAATATGTTTCCCAGGCTAGTCTTGAATTCCTTGTCCCCAAGCAATTGTCCTACCTTTAGTGTCCCAAAGTACTGGGAATACAGGTGTGAGTCCAGTCCACAATGACCTTTTAAAAGGCTAACAGGAATGACAAAGTATTAATAATATCAGAGAAAGTAAAATATGAAGTAGAAAGTATTAAATCGGATAGGGAAAGCAATTTTATATATTCTTCCAAGACGATGTTAAAGCCACAGTTCTTTTTGTACCATAAAGTGTAACAACACTTCTTAGAATCATGGGAAGAATTTAAGGTGATGGGTAAAATATGGCTTCAGTTGTGAGAGCTAAATACATAAATCCCTTGTACTGCTTACTAGCTTTTTAACCTGGACAAGTTACTCTCCATCTCAGTGCCTCAGTTTCCACATGCAGATGGGGATAGGTGGGCTGTCGTGAGCCCAGGCAAGATTAATGGAGGCAAACCCCACTTAGCAGAGCACCTCACGTGTTACTCAGTAACCGGCAGGTTGTATCATCAAAGGAGGAGAAAGGCCACTGGGGAACTAAAGGACATGGTTAATAAGCGGGTTTGTATGGCCTGTATCACATACCTCGTGCCACGGCATTCTTCAGATGCCCTGAGGAAGATTTACAAAAATTAAGGGAAATCTTTACTTCTCAAAAGTAGACATACAGAATGCATTCCCACTCAAATTGAACAAAAAGATATTCTAGAGAAATTTAACTATTGAAAATTTAAAATGTCATTCCCAGTAGGTTTTAGATGAATCAAAATTAGAATTACAGATTGTACAGGAGAGCGAATGGCAGTGGGGTGCTGGCAGAAATGGTCTCAAAGACGAAAATCATAGCTTTAAATGTCTTAATAAGATTGAAAATAAACCTAAGCAGTTAAGAATCTAAAGAGTGATCATAAAATATACTTTTAAAAAGGAATTCATAAAAGCAGAAATTAAAGTAAAACCAGTAGTCTTTATGAACTTTTCTCAAGACTAAGAAAAAAGCCAAATATTATTTGAAATGAAAATAAGAGATGTTCATGGCCATAGTGGAATTTTAGACTATTATTTAATATTTGAATATGCTCCTACAAGTATTGAGATTATTCAGAAGGTCCTATATGTCTTTTAAAAAATGAAGCAATAACAATAGGACTCCCCCTATAATGAGTATGGGAGGAGGCTAAGTGTTAAGTATGAAATGTCCGATTTCCTTTAGCACTAAGTTTGACAGTTGATATCTCTGACATTTCACTTAGACACTTCTTGTTTTATTTTTAAGGTGAAGGTACCTCCTCAGTCTTTCACGTGTACATTTTGGCTTGTGATTATCTTTTAAATTTTTTTTAGAGCAATTTTTGTGAAACCATGGATAAGTCAAAAATGCATGCCATTTTCGACTGTGAGTTCTGTCATGGACCCAGTGTAGTCCAGGCAGCTTGGTGGAATGTCAATGAAGTGTTTGGGAAGGATGTGGATAATGAATGCACAGTATGTCTATGGTTTGACAAATTCCGTTCTGGCGATTTTAACCCTGAAAAATGAGCCATGTGGGTGACCTGAGACCAAGGTAGATAATGCTGAGCTGAAAGCTGTAGTATTGGAAGCAAATCCATCTCGACCTACGTGTGAATTAGCAGCAAGGTTTGACATTACAATTCCAACAATATTGGACCATTTGAAACAAATGGGCAAGGTAAAGAAGCTGGATAGAGGGTTCCACATGAATTAGAGTGTCAGAAGAGAAATTGTCTCGAAGCTTGCCTTTCTTTGTTGTCACAACATAAAGGTAAACCATTTCTACACCATATTGTTATTTGTGATGGAAAATGGGCTCTTTTTGACAATCACAGCTGTTCAGCACAATGGCTGGATGAGATGAAGTGTCAAAACACAGTCCAAAACTGAATATTCATCAAAAAAGCTAATGGTGTCTGTTTGGTGGCCCAGCACTGGTATTAACCACTACAGCTTCATGAAACCTGGTCAGTCAATTACAGCAGATGTCTACTGCAGCCATTTGGACAAAATGAGGAGGATGCTTGTGATTAAGCAGCCGAGATTGGTCAATAGAGACAGGCCAATCCTCTTGAAAGACAACCCTGCTCAAACTACAGAAGCTGGACTTGGAAGCTCTGTCATCCACTGTATTCACCAGACCTTGCATCGCCCGACTACCACTTCTTCCAGGCTTTGGACCCCTTCTTGCAAGGAAAAATACTCAATTCTCCACAAGCTGTGGAAAACACCTTTCTTGATTTCATGGCTGCTTGCTCTCCAGGCTTTTTTGCTGCTGGCGTAAACAAGCTACCGTTAAGATGGCAAAACTCTGTCCGTACTTCAGTTGCATATTTTGACTAATTGTACTGCTTGTTTGAGATATAGTAAGCTACGCTTTTGATTCAAAATCTGACATTTCATATTTAATGACCTAATAAGTAAAGATTTAGTATCATCTGATACTAAGATTGAGTACCACTTCAACCTGGCTCTCTTAACTAGTGGCTATTTTATATATTGAGATTCCCCATAAGATTTCATTACAGAAAATAAGGGATTGCTACTAAAACGTTGAAAAGTTCTACTTTGAAGGTCTTAAAAAGTCACTGGAGAAATGGAGAGTTCACAGACAAAAGAGTTCATAAATGAGGCAGCTCTGGCAGTGGCGCAAGCAGCGGTGACCCTCTGCCCTTGGAGGGCTGTCCCCTTATTCCAGATCCGACAGCCCGCTGACTCTTCTTCCCTTTCCTCACTAAACTGGGGAGGCAAAACCCCAGTGGCAGGAAAGGACGAACACTGAACTTGGCAGTCAGGAGAATGGCGTCTAGCCTGCCCCGCCTTCATTGCCCTGAGAACTCCGGTGAGCCGCTGTACTGTGTGAAGGGAACTGGCCACCTGCCCTCCCAACACTGTAGGTTCATTGCAAGGTTGAGGCACAAAGGTGCTTTGAATGGCAGACATTCTACATGAACATAAGTTTGGGTTCGTTCTTTAAGGTAAGCTTCTCTTAAAATTCCCCGACTGGTATTAAAAAGCACATACCAATCTGTGGTTGAGTGACGCAGGCCCCACGTAAATAGTCTATTCTTCCAACCGGAAAGCATTGGAAGGGAAAGTAGAATTCACACGGGAATGAGTTCTCATTGCAGAAGCGAGGAAAGCACTACGATTTCTGTGTTTGGTGGAGAATGTTTTTGGACTTAGTCATGATTCTTTTTCTCCCTTAGGTTGATGAAAACATGAAAGTAGCACAGAAACGAGATGCTGTCTTGCGGGACATGTTTTACTTCAGGAAAGACATTTGCAAAGGTATTACATTCTTTGAGATTTTTAGGATCGGTTTATGCTGCAACAAGCCACTGAAGCCCCTCCGCCTTTTCCTCCGGCAGGTGGCAATGCTGTGGTGGACGGGTGTGGCAAGGCCCAGCACAGCACGGAGCCCGCTGTGGAGGAGTACACCCTCATGAGCATAGACACCATCATCAACGGGAAGGTAGGGGCCCCGTACAGTACATCTCGCTCTGCCTGCCGCCTGGCAAGGAGTTCACAGCGTGTCCTGCCTCTTGTAGGAAGGTGTGTTTCCCGGGCTGATCCCAATTCTGAACTCTTACCTTGAAAACATGGAAGTGGATGTGGACACGAGATGTAGTATTCTCAACTACCTAAAGCTGATTAAGAAGAGAGCATCTGGTATGACAGCCTTTTCTTTACTTAATATCATAATGTGGGCAGAACCACACAATCTTGAAATGTTCAATTTCTTAAAGTAGTCTTTTAAAGTATGCCATATTTTATCCATGTACAACTTTTCACATTTTAACATTTCTGCAATTGGATACACCTTATAATCTTTGAGAGTCACGGTTTGGATTAGCAGTGTTTTTTTTTCTTACTGGTTCGTGAAATAGAGGTTCGTCTTCAAATCAGTGGCATCTCAGGTGATGAAATATGGTATCTGGATTGCCTATTAGTTATGTCCAGCTGTGTCCGTCGTTCATCATCGTGGACCAGTTTATGCCGCATCAAGGAACTGAGGAACTCTGATGTCTAGTTCCTCGCCCGCCTCCAAGCAGTGAGCCTCTTGGGAACCCCCTTCTTTGTGAGCTTTGAGGAGACCCCGTCACAGTACCTAACAGAACTCAGTACCAGGGGGCCGTCAGCTGTTAATAAAAGTAACGGTGATAATGGTAGTGGCATCTGTATTTCTCTTGAGCCTTCTGTGAACTTTCTGGCGGCACAAAGGAAAGCGGTAGAACCCCATATCACCAGTTTCCCTCTTCATTCACTCTACTTACTGCTCTTTATTCTCTCTACCACTTTGATCCAAGATCACTGGAGGGACCCTACAGTCCTCTGAGGCAGTCTCATGACGCCAGCGTATGTAGTCCTAGCCTTCTGGCCAAATGGAAGGACACATGCTCTTGTACATATGTGCTGGCTCCTGTCCCCTGGGAGTTGGCAAGGTCGGCAAATGGGTGGCATCTAACAGGTACCACAGAAACTGGATGTGTGCGTTCTCATTGCCTGCCTGCAGCCTACAATTCTTCCCCAGGAGGAGTTCTTCAGACACTGTGAAAGACGTTCCCAACCCCTGCCATGTGGCTACACTAAAAAGTCATAGTGATTCCTCTTAAGAATGTTTATGCTAGCCATTAAATATCAACTTATTAAAAAGAAAACACACACACGTACACTTCTATTATGTTACCCTAAAATTTTTTTTTTTTTTTTTAGGAGAACTAATGACTGTTGCCAGATGGATGAGGGAGTTTATCGCAAACCATCCTGACTACAAGCAAGACAGTGTAATAACTGATGAAATGAATTATAGCCTTCTTTTGAAGTGTAACCAAATTGCAAATGAATTATGTGAATGCCCAGAGTTACTCGGATCAGCATTTAGGAAAGTAAAATACAGTGGAAGTAAAACTGAGTCTTCCAACTAGACACTCTGCAAAAAGAAAAATGCATTACTGTTTTGTTGACGACCGGCTGCAGTACCATGCCTGTCAGCCCAAGTGTATAGTATGAAGACCAAATAGAGCTGCACTGTTTCCTGGACCAATGGGCCAGGAATTGATTTAGAGGCTTCCTTCAGTAGGTAAATCTAGAGTTTATACAGTACATGTACATAGTAAAGTATTTTTATGATTAACAATGTATTTTAATAACATATCTACAGTCATTGTGAACTGGCTTGTACATTTTTTAATTCTTGACTCTGGAGCAACTACTGCCTAAGCAGTTTTGTAAATGCACTGGTAATTGTACAATACCTGCATTCCAGAGTTTAAAATGTTTACTGTAAATTTTCGTTCCTTTAAAGACTACCTGGGACCTGATTCACTGAAATTTATCACTTCACTTTGAAAACACTTTCTCTTGTTAATTTTCTTTGAGTCATCTCCTCCCTTGGGTACATAAAATCACTTAAATCCATTGAAGTGCTTCAAGGGTAATCTTAGGTTTCTGGCACCTTATCTATGATATTTCTGTGGCAGTTGGAATAGCTAACCATTCGGTCACCTTGCCCTAAGCTTTCATACTTGAATAAAACCCATTGAAGTCTTATGACTGTGTATAAAAGGAACTTTCCTTCTTTGTTTAGACTTTCTGTTTCAGACATTAAGCTTAACAGCTAATTAACAATTAAGACAACTCTGTAGGAAGAAGGGAGACTATTGCCCAGAATTCACATGTAGTGATTATGGGGGTGACTTTTTTTTAACTAAAAAATCATTTTTCTTCCTATACATACCAAGAGTACTGTCAAAATGGCATTAGCTCTTACGTTGTTGCCTGTTAATTCTGATTGCTGCTATATACTTAAATTTTCAAATCTTATGCATTTGCTTTAGTTCTGTTACTCTATCTCTAGTTTTCAGTAAGTATATTGATAGACTTTCTTCTAAAAGCCATTCACCCCAGATTTTACCTGGGGAACATTCTACATACTGCTTACGTTCTCTATAAAACTCATAAATCATGAAATGCACTAAGTTTTGTGAATCAGGGCCCCAGATGTTTAATTGTAAATAATTTCAGTTTCAGATAATTGTTGTTACAGCTTTGTGTTGAAGTTTTGTTTTTTTCAATTCGTTAAAAGTCTTAACTGCTTCTGATCAACTATGTACTGTAGATTATGCATACCTTTACAGGCATAAATATTTAAACTATAATGCTAACTCTAAGACTGCAATAAAGTTGCTTCAGCTAAACCTGTTTATGTTTAAATACTAGAGTTTGTTCTGTATTTCATACATGCATTTTGGAGGAGTAAAGAATGCCTGTTTTTTATTTGCAATTTGCTTATTATAAATCAGGTTGTAAAAAGGCAGATAAACTAAAATGTTTGTGGTATGAGGAAATAAAAGAATGGAATTAGCATTCAGAAAAGTCTCGCACGTGTGTTAAGTTCTACAACTAAATCGATAGTAGTAGAGTTTGGGGTTTTTTAACTAGCTCAGATGCCATGAAATTATTTCTTCATCATCGTGATCCTCAGGTGTTTTTAGAAAGAAGCTTAGGACAGACGGATGCCTAATCTCTTTTAGTAGCAGTCAACTCCTGTGGGAAGGGGAAGGACTTGAAGCGTGGCTGAAATGACTGCGGTGCCCCTGGAAGTGAATTTTTCTTTCTCTCCTGACTCCCCACTGTGCTGGGTTAGGGGGGACATGGTGGCCACTGAGTGACGTGGGTGCTGTGGGGACACTGCAGTCTAGGCTGGAGACACTTAGACTGAATCAGCCAGTCCTGCAGAGTCATTTTCAGTTCCTGTCTGTCTGTCAATGTCCACCCCCATACACATGCACAGAGTTCGTGAAATAATGTTCTTCATCTGAGCAACACACTTTTCTCAGAACTTCTTTATCTGAGTGATTCTAGGGCACTGCTTATCAAACTGTGATCTGCATATGAATCTCTTGGGGGTCTTCTGGTTTGGTGAGTCTCGGGTGGGACCCACCTTTCTGTATTTAACTCCCAGGTAATGCTGTTGCTAGTCTGCTGGCCGCATGAATAATAAGGACTTGGATCACCTTCTGTACCTGAGTTATAGACAAGTCAATTTTTAAATAACAGTTACCTTTAATTCTAATGTGATGTGTCTGTCTAGATTTTTTTCTTACTACAAATCAGGTAAAAGTACTCTTTCTCCAAGACAGAGAATGTAAGCTCCACAACTTTCATGAGCTTTACCATCTGAACACAGCTGAGAATTTGGGATTTGGGGAATAGAACTATAAACATTGAAGTAAGCAAAAAGTGCTTTCTCCTTGGTAGAAATAACCTGTGGCCAAACCCAGACTTTCAGAGCCTCATTTGGGATACAACCGACTGTTACCAGGTCATTAAATCTGAAATGTCCGATTTTGAATTAAAAGTTGTTTATCTCAAGCAGTACAATTAAGCAGTACAAGTATGCATTTATATATTTATATTGTATACACTATTGACACAGTTTTCCCATCTTAACAGTAGTTTGTTTATGCCAGAAGCAAAGAAACCTGGAGAGCAGGTGGCCATGAAATCACAAATGGCTGCTGTAGTTTGAGCAACGTTGTTTGTGAGACAGCATTGTCTTACAAGAGGGTCGGCCTGTCTCTAGTGACCAGTCTTGGCTGCTTAACCACAAGCATCCTCATCATTTTGTCCAGTTGGTTGCAGTAGATATCCGCTGTAATCGACTGACCAGGTTTCATGAAGCTATAGTGGATAATACCAGTGCTGGACCCCAAACAGACACCATTAGCTTTTTTTGATGAATATTCAGTTTGGGACTGTTTCGGCACTTTATCCAACCATTGTGCCGAACACTTGGAATTAGCAAAGAGAATCCATTTTTCATCACACATAACAATAGAAATGGTTGACATGGTGTAGAAATGGTTCACCTTTATGTTGTGACAGCAGAGAAAGGCAAGCTCCAAGACGATTTCTCTGCTGATGCTGGTTTAATACATTAACTGCCATGTGAGTTGTACTTAACTCATGCTAGTTTTGAGCCCAGGGCCTCGTGAAACATATGTAACTCACACATCTCTTCACCTTGGGAACTGCGTGAACTGTTTTTCAAGTGGTGTATAACTCAAGCACAGAAAACCAAAAAACAAATTTTTCGTTAAATTAGAAAGGATCGTTTTGTTTTCGAAGTTTTTGTTCTATTTTCATGATAAAACACCGTGGCTCCAAGGAAAAATATTCTTTTTCTAGTGTGGCAGTCAATGTGTTAATTCATGCAGAACTCAAATACCCAGCTTCTTTACCTTGCCTATTTGTTTCAAATGGTCCAATATTGTTGGAATAGTAACATCAAGCCTTGCTGCTAATTGATGCGTAGGTTCAGATGGATTCACTTCCACTACAGCTTTCAGCTCATCATTATCCACTTTGGTCTCAGGTTGCCCATGTGGCTCATTTTCAAGATTAAAATCACCAGAATGGAACCCAAACCATCAATGTACTGTGTGTTCATTAGCCACATCCTTCCCAAATATTTCATTGATATTTCAAGCTGTCTGAGCTGCATTGGTTCCTGGTGGAACTCATATTCGAAAATGCCATGAATTTTTGACTTACCCATGGTTTCACAAAAATTGCTCTAAAAAAGTGATGTACCTCCACAATAAAAAGAGTCAAAGTGAAATGTCAGGTATCAACTGTCAAACTTAGTCCTTAAGGAACTCGGACATTTCATAGTTAATAACCTAATACATAACCTGTTTCTAACTTAAAATCTGGTTTCCTGCCCCTCAAGTCTCCTGCATGAATAAGAGATTTCCTCCTGGTCCTCAGATGCCTTTGCCACTTTGGCCTATCTCTGAGGCTAGCTGTGAGCCTTGAGCTTGCCTTAGCCCTTTTTGTTTGTCTTTTTTGAGACAGTCTCTGCTCTGTCGACCCAGGTAGAGTTGCAGTGGCGTCATCGTAGCTCATTGCAGCCTCAGACTCCCAAGTAGCTGGGACTACAGGCTCATGCCAGGACAGCCAACTAATTTTTCTATTTTTAGTGGAGATGGGGTCTCACTCTTGCTCAGGTTGGAAGCAATCCTCCCACCTCAGCCTCCCAGAGTGATAGGATTACAGGTGTGAGCCGCTATGCCCCGGCCTCCTTTTTGTCAACTAAGAAAAATAGTGACGTTTATACTTTGGAAAAAGGAGAGCTTTATTTCTCATAAAGGTTTTGTAGCCCACGGTGGCCATTCTGGCAGGCTAGGAAACTGGACTCCTGGCTACAAGCCAGGAACATGTGCTTCATGGGAGGGAGGGACAAAGGGAACAGCATTCTATACTGAGCAGGGTGCCTAAATATACACAACTAACAAGCCATGTAGGAGTCATGAATATTTATAAAAAGAGAAAACATGCATATGTGCAATTGTGTTTTATACCTGCCATCCCATCATGGCTGGGAACTCAGTTTTAAGGTTTTTCTGGGGTCCTCTGAGCTGAGAGGGGTCCACTCGGTTAGCAGGAGGCTTAGGATTTCATTTTTAGTTCACAGTCTAAACCACCACCTGATAAAAAATTAGCCAAGAGATGTGTAGAAATGCAGGATGTGGCATGGGTTGGTCCATATCGATGGAAGGTTTCTCAGGGACCTGAAGTCTTGCAAAGGTGGAAGCTACCCTTGAAGCCGCTTGTTGTGTTGAGAGAGGGGAAGATAGTGAGAGGGAAGCGGGCTGTCAGAGCTTGGCTAGATGAGTTTCGGAAGTGTAAATACGCTCCTTAGTTGCATGGTCTTCGGCAGTCCTGCTGATGAGCTTGCCACGGAGGGTCAGGCTCCCTCACTTTCCCTAAAGACAAGCCACCGAGTTCTACCAGCTGCCTTCTCCTCTCCATTATGCTTTTGTGTAAATATTTCACATTTCCAGTAAACACTTCTGGAAATACATGCCAAGGGACATTTAGAAAAGTGTAAGTTAGAAGATGGTATCTCGGTTCAGGCTGCTGAGTGACTTAAGCAACAGATGTTTATTTCTCAGAGTTGTGGAGGCCGGAAGTCCACGGTCAAGGTGCTGGCAGATTTGGTTCCTGGCAAGGGATCTCTCTGGTTTGCAGATGGTCACCTTACTGTATCCTCACGTGTTGGAGACAGAGATCATCTCTTGCGCCTCCTTATAAGACCCCTAACCCCATTCGTTAGGGCTCTGCCCTCATGATCTAATTACCTCCCAAAGGCTCCACCTCCAAATGCCCTCACTTTGGGGGTTAGGCTTTGACAGGAATTTAGGGGAGACACATTCAGTCCATGACAGAAAGGGACCGGTGAGGACTAGACTGGAAGTGAGGAGACCTTGCTGGGCCACCTTGTCTGGGAAAGACACATTTCTTGGACTGTTGCATTTTCTCGGTAAGCAGAGGCTGACATAGGCTGGATAATCCCAAAGCCCCTTTCTTAAGTCTATGAAATGAAACATGACAAAGCTAAGTATGGAAGATGCATTAAAAAAGAACAACGGACTACATAACAGTGACAGAAAAGAAAAAACTGCCACATGCGACACATCTCACAGATGTCATGTTGAGTGAAAGAAGCCAGATACAAAGGAATGTGTACTGTAGTGATTGCATTTACAAGTTCAAGGGCAGACAAAGCGGAGAGACAGTTACTGAAGGCCCACCAGTGGTTACCTCTGGGTGGGAGTGGGAGAGGACCAACTGGAAGGACATAAACTTCTGGGTTGCTAGACATGTTCTATTTCTGAATCCAGGTGGTGGCTCATGGATATCAATATGTTTAAGAATCACTGAGCTCTACACTTAAGATGAGGGCACTTTACACATTTTATGTTTGTTATAGCTCAGGAAAATATGAGTAAAAACTGTGCAATCACTTCTCGGCCTTTTTGGCTAAGATCAAATTTTTAAACTTCTCAAAAAAAAAAAGGAATTTTTCTGAACAGAAACTAGCTCTCTACCTCTGTGTATGTGTTAAATAACTTCATTTTTCCTACCCTTTGAATACCTTATGCTTTCGTCATGGCATCATAGTGAAAACAATTTAAAAGCTAACATCTCTGTTGAAAGTGTTGTGTTCTGCACTTTCCGGAAGGTTTATCAAGACTGGGTTGGGGCCGGGCACGGTGGCTCATGCCTGTAATCCTAGTACTTTGGGAGGCCAAGGTGGAGGATCTCTTGAGTCAGGAGTTCAAGACCAGCCTAAGCAAGAGCAAGACCCCCCCCCCCATCTCAAAAAAGATAAAAAAAAATAAAAAAACTGGGTTGGGATGGCATACAAGTACTTCTAGCATAAAAAGCAAGAGTATAGACTTGAGTTCAAATCCTAATATTTACACGTACTAACTGCATGACTTCAGGCAAGTGGCATAACCTCTTTGTGTCATCTAGAAAATAGACATGAGGATACTTTCCAGACTTGGTATGGAGTGGAAA